AGGGCCTGAGTTCAATCTCCGGTTCTGAAAAAAAAAAGTGTACGACATCATTTATGGAATAACAACAATGAAAAGTGTACGTGTTTAGTGTAGTTACGTGTTTTACCCCCAAGATATTTTCAGCCTTCAGATATTTCTTACCTTTTTTTTTTCTCATCTGAGGCTGGGTAACTCCAGGATGCAGAAGGCTGACTGTGCAGCCCTCCCCTGGGATGCTGGGGGAGGAAGCAGATATTTACTGAATAATCCCATCTACCACAGATGGTTCACAGAGGTGGAGTGGGATGGGGGGGAATCACCAAATAGGAGGTATCACTGTCCCTGCTCTTTTTAGCATCTCCCCCTTTTCAAAAGTAGGAATGGGGAAATGATTTGCTTCTAAGGCCTGAAAAATTTAGAAGTCCTTCTCTAGGGTGTTTCCCCCCTCGAAAAAAAAGTGTGTCTGTGGGGGGGCAGTTCTTGAGAAAAATTTTAAAGTTATTTTTTTCATTTTGATTGTGCAGTACAATTTAGAATTTGGTTCCATTTAAGTTGGATGTGAGCCTTGAACAGCCCACTAGAAGCTTCCCAGCCTGTCTGTGTGATCAGAACTTGGGTGCCCTGTCCAGAAGAGGCTGTCAAGAGTGACAGCAAAGCTGATTAAACACTTTTGTAAGAAAGGAATAAATCACAGGCACATTTGGCCCCTGCAAACCTTTTATGCAGATGGCAGCAGAAAATGCTTGTAGTAGTTTTCTAAAAGACCAGCTAGGAAAGTGGCTTAGAGACAAGCCTCAAGCCCTTTGGAAAAGCTCATGACTGAGTGTAAGGAAGATTTGTAGACTACTGGACCAGTTCTATACACATTGCTCCTGAGAGGTTTTTTTTTGTTGTTGTTTTGTTTTTTTAAGATTTATTTATTTGGTACGGGGTCTCGCTACTCAGCTCAGACTCATAGTGACCCTCCTGTCTCAGCCTCCCGAGCACTGGGGTCACTTGTGTATACCATCACACCTGGTTTTGGTGGCCATGGCCAGCATGGCAGTACGCCCTGTGCTACTGGGGATCGAACCCATGTCCTTGTGCTTGACAGGCAGGCACTTAAACCACTGTGCTATCTCCCTGGCTCCTGAGATACTTTTTGAAGAGAAGATTTTCTAGTGGACAGACTTTTCTGTGGTACAGTATAAGCTTTGAGGTTATTTGTAGTTCTCTTAGGGCTTTTTTGACCTTTCTATACAGTAGAAATTGTCTGAGCGAGTGCTTTGAGGGGACCTGTGGGTAGCGCTGTGATCTCTTGTCCACAGCAGGTCAGAGAAGAAGGCTCCAAAATTATTCATGGCCCTCTCTTCTCTTGCAATCCAGGTTGTAGGAAAGATCCTTATTTTCCAGCTGTCTTTTCCTGTATTCACAGGACTCAGCTGAAAACCTTATAAAATTTGCAAGTGTACTGCCACCTGAGCAGTAGGGTGGTTTTCAGCTTTACAGGGCCAGAGGCAGCTGGCCTGCCCCTGCTGCCTGCCTCTGCTTCCTGCTGAGTTCCAGAGGACAGCTCTTTCAGAGAGCCTTCCCTTGTACCACCGTGACCTTAGAGGATCAGGGAGGCCTGCGGTTTCTGTGGGTGAATAGAAAACTGGGTTTGACATCAGACAACCTGAGTTCGGAACTGTGTACTTTACTGGGCCTCCTTACCCTACACAGAAAAATTCCGTCTCCTTTTGGGAGGTGTTGTGGGCTTTGTAGTTTTGTTTGTTTGTTTGTTTTAGAGGCTGGGTCTCACTGTGTAATCTAGAGCGGCCTTGGACTCTCTGTGTAGCCTAGGCAGGGGCTCAAAGTCAGGATTTTTGGCCTCAGCCACCCAAGAGTTAGTATTACAGGCAAGGACCGGCATACCGAGCTTCTGGAGTTAGTTTATTTTTAACATCCCACTATGGATTCTTTTCCTCTTTGTACTTTTTTTTTTTTTTTTAAAGAATCAGATGGAGCTGGGAATATAGCTCAGTGGCACAAGCACCTGCCTGACAAGTGCAAGGACTTGTGTTCAATTCCGGTACAAATTTTAAAAAAAGGTGGAATAATGGATGTGAGAAGAACCTTGAAAATAGTAATGAGATATGCTACAGTGGCTTCTGTATTAGCCACACTGTCTTAATTACTTTTCTTGTTACTCAGACAAAATGCCCAACATCCCCAAATTAAAGAAAGGCTCATTTCGGTTCATACTTTATCGAGGTGTCAGTCCGTAGTTGTCTGACTCCAAGGCAGAGTGGCATGGCAGAGACAGGCCGTGGCGGGGCAGGGAGCAGCAGCCCTGCCTGCCTGTTGTCCCTTCTATTCCATCCAGGCCACAGACTGTGGTGCTCTCCACACCCACGGTTGGCCTTCCCATGGTCTGTACCCAGAGCCGTTCTGAACACTGGTGGACTAGGTTAGCCCCACATACCCTGAATCCCAGTATCGTACATTCTGGGCTGGCGATGGCTAACCTGTTAGAGACGAGTGCCCACACTGCAGCCCAGAACCCACTTAGTTATCCTAGACTGCCAGCACTGCAGGTAGACCTCAATACTGAAGTTTTAGTTTAGAAGAATCAGCTCACACGTTACATTTTTCGTCTTAAGTGAAAAACAACAAACATACCATAGGCTCACTACCACTGCCCTAGATCCAGCCAGCCCCAAAGGCCCCATCTCCAAGCACGCGAGGCTCTGGGGACATCTAGATGCAGCCGTAACACATGTTCTCACAAGAGTTGTCTGAGCAAGTGCCAGTATTGATCAGATTGGTTCCTGGTGATAGCTAAGCAGATCCTCCAGGCATCAAGATGAGGAGGGAGATACATAAATTGGAAGAGCTAGATCTCACTATAGCTTGTTCTTTCTTTAAATCACTCTAGGACTGTGCATGGGGATTGCCCTTTTTGGCATTCCAGGTTTTAATTTATAATTAAAGCTTTTATTAGAGTTTCGTTTATTTGTAAGCGTTAGTTTTATTTTGAGTA